CAGTCTGCGATAACTTTCCTCAACAGGAGTGGAGCAGCTACGCTGTGAGAATGTGAGCATCTGCTGTTATTGTCACTAAGGCTGTCTACTGCCCGAGTCTGAGAGACCACATGCTCCGCTGTCCTCTCATCTCTCCATCCTCACCAATTAACTACTAACATGGAGGGCTGTACACATGCTCTCAGGGGCTTTAACAGGCGTCTTGGCGAGTGGAACAACTACTCAGCAGGGTTGTGGGAACGGGGTAAGGCTGCAATATAGGCACTACCAGGGCTCTGCCCTAGTCACGCTGCACCCCACAGTTCAGGATGCAACCAGAATCATAGTCAACGGAGCCACCTCACAGACATTTCAGGATACTGTTTTGGATAGACACTAAACTATATTCTAGCAAGAGTGTTATGAGTAACAATACTTCATAAGGAAAACTATGTAAAACTACATGTATGTCTGAAGACATTCAGAATCACTTGCTAAATATTTTTAGTCCTTTAAAAAGATACTTAGAACTTATTTTTACACATTTACTTCAAAGTACGTTCATCAGCTTCTACTGTGCCGTTATAGAATTAACCATTAATTCAAATGAAATAAAAATTTCAAGTTTAAGGTTGTGAGACTAAACATAAAATACTTCAAATTAGAACTTTAAAATCACCCTTGTTCCTTCTGCTTAGAAGTATCATTACAACAATAAGTTAAAATCAGTTTTGAATCTATTATTTTCCCTATTTTAACTTCTCCCCCTCTTTTGCAATTTCCTTAACTATGTGTTCCTTCCCTACAATGAAATTAAACATGGGAAGCATGCCAAAAGTACAATAAAGGGTAACTAATCATTACTGTACACGTCCGACAGAATGCTAATAACTGAGATAAGAACACTGATTGGCTGGTTTACCATTCTAAGAGATGAAAATATTTTATATACTCTTAGTCTAGTGCTAATTTAAAGATGCTTAATTACATGACAAAATTTCCAAGGATATAGAATGACATTTCTTTTTCCTGACAGAAACAAATTATCAGCATCAAAGCTCAAATATCCAATACACACACACACACACACACACACACACACACACACACACACACACCCATACAGGCCAAAAAAAAAAAAAACCCACCAAAAAACTTCAAGACACCCAGAAAAACAAGGAAAAAAAAACAACAAAAAACAAAAACACAAACCCAAACCAAAAACGCTCAAATTATTTTTTGTTTTATCCCATCTTTTGCAACCCTGAGGACAGTGACTTTGTCATATTCAATACGCTATCTCCATAGATACCTATGCATGCCTGCTGTATTTGAATGAATAAATGAGATAGAGAAGAAGGGAGGGAGAAAGGGAGAAAGGGAGAAAGGGAGGGAGGGAGGGAGGGAGGGAGGGAGGGAGGGAGGGAGGGAGGGAATGAGCTAATCAGCTCTTAGTCCCACGAGCACCATTTCAACTCTGTCTTATAGACTCCAGAAATTGTACTGGTCATGAAAACCGATGTGAGTCTTGTGCAGTTTATGCCACTAAGAAACGGACAGCTGTGTATCTGTGCTTCCCGGTGTGTCTTCAACCCAATCCACGGGAGGACACTGCCTAGTGTTTTCCATAAAAAGGATCAGGGAACTGAAGATTTTCTTTCTGCTGTTTCTAACATGCCAAGCACGTGCCTCCCTCTGAGCAGCTCTCTCAATCCTTCCATTGCACTGATACACTGAACACTTTAATTTTTGACAGGTTTATCTTCAGATTATCAATTTGGAAAGTCTCTGTTGATGATGATGGCTAGTACACACTGAATGCCTATGATGCATCAGGACTTGGTATTTCTCATCCTCTGAATTGGGGACTTTTGGCCTCATTTTATCAATAAAGAAGCTAAGACTGTGAAAATTAACCAAAACCAAGTAATTTATTGAACATTTCCACCTGCAGAAGCACATGATTATTATTTTTTAATCACTGAATACAGTTTTGTCCCCATCTTCCTTAGCTGAATTCTACACCAGCATCTTTATGAAACAAGCAGCACAGTACAACGACTAAGTGAGCAGCAACTAGAGAGGCGCTGCTCAGCTCTAACTTCTGCTGTGTATCTTCAGAAAAGATGACAGCAACGGCACGTAGTGGAAAGATTCCATGGGCTACTATCTAAAAAGTTCAGGACCACAATTGGCCTACAGTAATTACTATACAAGTTCTTGTGAAACAAACTTAATCTTTCTTTTTTGTATATTCATATGCTTCTAGTGTGTGTGTGCATGTGTGTAAAGGGAGAAATTAACTTTGGGTATAATTCTTTGAGCACCAACCATCTTCCACCTTATTTTTTGGGACAGGGTCTCTCACTGAGACCTGGAGCTTGATGTAAGTCTGGAGGATCCACTTGCATCCTCTTCTCCGGTGCCAGAATTCCAAGTGGGCATCACTTTACCTGGCTATTAACATAGGTCCTGGGGACCAAACTCAGATCTTCATGCTTACTGACTAAGCTCCCTCTCTAGTGCTTCTGATTAAGCTTCTAAACAAACTGCTACTTGCTCTTATTCTCTATGCTTTCCCTTCCAGTCTTTGGAAGCTATCAAGAGTTTTATTCCTTACTTATATCATACCTGACTTGAACAAATTGGTAAGCTACATTTGATAAATGTATTGATACATAAGCAAAAGTTTTTAAGGCAGTTTTTTTTTTATAATTCACTTGATTATAAAGTGAGTTTAGAAAGCTGCCATGCATGATAGCTTTGTAGAACTGTGTGGGAGATGAGAACTGTCACAAGATGGTGGGTGGTCTTACTAAGAGCACTGGCCATTCTGAGGAGCACGGTCATGCTGCTTAATTTTAAACACACCACCTGTCTGACCTTAAATCCTGTTATTTCTATTTCATTACGTTAAAAATGTAAGTTCAAACAATACTATTGTACAAAGGTTTAAAAATCTCTAAACATTGGCTATATGTCCTTGTCATTCAACCACCTGACTTGTGGTGTAGACAGGCTGACATGAAAACACCTGAGAGCATTACTGTTCTTCCTTGAAACACTGTCAGAGATGTCACAGTGGATGTGACCTTTTAAAGTAATAATCATTTGTAATATAGTTTTTTGTTTTTCCTTAAAAATTTTCATAGTTTTTTAAAATTAAATATAAAATTGCTATTTCACAACTGTTTTCTTTACTTGCAATTTTGCAAAAAGGAAACATCTATCCATCTATATATTTGTCCTTTGTCAGTAATGGGACTTTTTGCCTTATCTTTCACATACTCTAATTGTTGAAGACTTTGCAATGATAATACTGTATTTAAAAATACTAAATAGTAGCAGTGTTAGTCAAGAGCTAAGTTGTAGAGTTTTGTGACTGTTGAGAAGCTATGTGATTATAAAGATGGAAGGCGCTAGAATCTGAGGGGGAAGAAATGAGCCCTGCAATTTATAACTGGACCACCTTGGAAAGCTGAGTTTAGAACTAAGCATCTCACAGGGTTGTGGTAAAACCCATAAACAGAAAGACAATGAGATGCCAGGGCCTCGTAAGTAGCTGCAGCCACAAGGCAGCTGCAGGGCAAGTATGAAGAGCTGAGCTTTCACCTGTGGCTCCACATCTATCATCAAAACCAACAAGCTCACCATGTTTAACCAGGCTACTAATGAACAACAAGCTCACCATGTGTAACCAGGCTACTAATGAACAACAAGCTCACCATGTGTGACCAGGCTACTAATGAAGTATTTATTTCACAATAACATTGATGCACAATGAAAATATTATAAACATACACAGCATGACTAACATTATTAGAGAAAGGGCTTCCCTACAATATTTATAAAGATTCAGGTCATCATATTAATAACATAAAAATACATAATATTTTGTTATTAACATAATAAAAACATAATTTATGTTTAAGAATTATCTGTTAAAACCCTGCAAAGGAAACATGAGTTAACCTATTATGTTTATTAAAAATAAATTCTACTGGCCAGTGAGTAAAAATTTCTTGGTATTTATGCCTCAGTTTTCAGCCATAACTTTGAGATATGTTGCATTACTGTATATAATTAACATACAATTAGTGTAACTCATTGATATTTTAGTGCATTTATCATTTGCTGGAACGGCCTAGGTATGTTAGAACAAAGATATATATGCAGTTTCAATAATTAGGTATTAGAAATAATTTTCCAAGTGAGAATCAATTATTCATTCAACTCACATTTACTGACCATCTATCTAGGAAAATCCAGGTGTTGTGCAAAGAAGGTTTTGCTCATACTAATAAAATATTATTATAAAGCCACATGAAGTCTCGCCTTGCCTTCATACAAGACAACAAGGTATAAGATATTTAAGATCACATGAAATCACATGTTTGAAATGATAAAGTCCTTTGGCCAGAAAAACAAAACAAAACCCTGCTGCTCGTCATAGCTCACATCTGTAACACTAAAGCACTCCTCAAAGTCCAGCTGTTTGGGATGTCAGAGTAAAGAAAGGACCAATAACGTTTCATCACACATTTACTTAGTGAATAATTAGAATGGTAGAAACCAGAAGATGTTTAAAAACACAAATTAAAATTGTGCAAAAAATTCAAGAGGAATATATTAACTCATGAATATAAGAAATGTACAAAATAATTAGGAGAAAATAGGAAAAGTTCTTAAGAGAGGCCAAGATCAAAAAGACTGAAGGCTAATGGAAATGACCAATTAAAATCAATGAAACTTATCAAGATTTAAACCTTGTATTTCAAAAGACTATTAAGAAAAGCGGTATTACAAACTATAAGAAAACTATTGCAAAAGCACATTGCTAAATATATACAAAGAACTTTAAAAACTGATAATAAGATTAACCAACAAAATGGAAAAAGAACCAGAGGATGAACACCAATGAGCACATAAAACAATGGCCAGCATCTTTAGTGACAAAGGAAAAGGAAAATAAAGCCAATTATCCTCCCTGTCTCCACTGGATAAGGAAGACAGGGTCTTACCTGGATCAGATGTGTTGGCATTGTGATGATACAGACTGACAGTGAGGTTCTTAGAAGGCCACGGAGAACATAGAGGAACTTGGTAAGACTATGATTGTTGTCACAATTTTCTGTACAGCAAATGTCATCTCCCCATAATGGTGAACCAAGGTTCTGAATTCCTATTCTTAAAATGTTTTTCTGTTTTTTCTAAAAGACAGTGAGAAGAAATAAATACATAAGTAGTTTATCAATATAGAACTTCTTTATCTACTAGTTCTTATCAGAACTCACAGCATCAGGAAGACAATAGACACGGTAAAAACTGATGCAATCTCAGCAGGAGGAGTATAAAGAACATACTTTAGATCAGAAATTCGGACAAAGCCAGCGTGTTACACTAATAGCTCCAGCTACTCAGGATGTTGGTGCAGGCCAATTGACTGAGTGTGGGTGTTCAAGGCCAGCTCAGCAACACAGCAAATCACTGTCTATCAACAAATGGCGAATAATTTTCATGAAAATTTGAAGGTCATGACAATAGTCAAATTTGAATTTTGTTTAAAGTTGAGGTGACTACGCTAAGAATTATATTTGAGACAGTTAAAACGACAGATAAATACCATGTGCTGTAGTGCTAGCCTGCATTCCTAGCATTTGGGAGGTAGAGGCACAGAATCAACACAAGCTCAAGGCCAGAGCTGTGTGTAGAACAAGTGCCATTGCAGTCAGGTGTGAAAAGTGAGACTATCTCCAAAAACCAAACCAAACAAAAACCCCAAACAATAATAATAGCAAAACCTCAAAATAATATTAAGATAGAGGCAAAGATAGAGGAAAAGGTTAATTCAAAATCTTACAAATGCATTCCCAGCATTATAAAACTCTACACCTCTTCCAATAAGCCAGGACGTCTGTATTTCCTGTCTAACTGTCCATCAACTGCTGTGTGAGCTTTTGTCTGAAAGGTGTTTACAACTTTTAAACTTTTTGGTTTTGTACTTTATATTTGTCTCTAGTTTTTTCATGAAATTGTTTTTACTGACCTAATTTAAGCTCAAAGCTTTAACACTTAGAAACTACTGATTATTATGGCTAAAATAATGGTGTCAATTTTTTTTGGAATAAAACATTTTTAAAAAGCAAGGACACTCTGGGTGGTGGTGGCACACACCTTTAAGCCAAGCACTCGGGAGGCAGAGGTAGGTGGATCTCTGAGTTCAAGGCCAGCCTGGTCTACAGAGCAAGCCTTAGGATGGCCAGTGTTACACAGAGAAAAAAGAGCAGTAAGTATCTGACAATATATGTTTACAAGTTCTACTGTTTGGGTTATTCTAACTGAACAAATGTTTTGTAAATGCTTTCCTTAACAATTTAGCAATATTTCTGTGCACAAAACATGGGATATGCAAATATTTGGAAGATCATTATTATATTTATAATGGAATAAAGTATCCTTCCCTTCTTCCCTCCCTCCCTCCTTCCTTCCTTCTTTCTTCCTTTCTCTTTTTTTGTTCTTTTTGAGACAGGGTTTCTCTGTAACTTTGGAACCTGTCCTGGAACTAGCTCTTGTAGACCAGGCTGGCCTCAAACTCACAGAGATCCACCCGCCTCTGACTCCCAAGTGCTGGGATTAAAGGCGTGCGCCACCACTGCCCGACTATGGCATTCTTTCTTAAAGCCATGATTTTAGATATGTGCCAGTTTAGATGAGCTTTCTCAATCTAGTAAATCTATTTTCCCAATAGAAAAGATAAAAATTGAATATGCGCATCCCCTTTATAAACAGAATTTATTGATGAAGGGTGACAGTGCAAAAGAATCTCAACATTGGAAAGCCCAAGATACAAAAGTATCTAGGCAGGGGAATAAAAAAAAGATAATGAATTTGGACTATGAAGTAGGTGCAGAGCTTTGTATATATAGTTATTCTTGGTATCCCTGGGGGTTCTCACTTTGGAGATTGCTTTGGATTTCAAGACCTATGTATGTTCAAATCCTTTATATACAACAGGGAAGTATTGCATATAACACAGCTATCTACCTATCTACTTTAAGTCATTCCTGGATTAGTGAATTATAATACACAATACTATATAAATGAAATTATATAAATAGTAGTTATACTGAGTTGTGTAGAGACCTAGGATGAGAAAAATGTATATTTAGTACAGATGAACGTTTTCAGCTATTTTTAATATGTTAGGATTTTGGTCTATAAAAAGTGTTTAACTGTATTTGTTTTCACCCAGAAAAATGAAGTGAAAACATGCATGGGGTAGATATTACAGGAACAAATATGGGGGAGGGCTATAGAGAGGATTCAGTGGTTTAGAGTGTGCGCTTCTCTTGCAGAGGACCCACCTTTTCCTCCTAAAACCTGCATGTGTAGTTACCAACCCGCTAAAACTCCAGATCCAGGAGAGCAGATGCCCCCTTCTAGCTGCTGACGGCAACAGATTCACATACTTATAAGTGCATGTGTGTGTGCGTACATGCCTACGACACACACACATGTAAGCACATATTAAAACAAGATAAATAAACCTTACTACAATTATTAAGAAAAAGAAGTACAAGTATGTTCCTGGCAAATTTATGTACAATATCTGTGAAAAAAAGTGAGATGATACTTCCTTTATGACACAAAACTTAAATTTAAGTAAACTGATAAAAACATAAGGCCTTGTTTATTGTTAAACTTGTTATCTCATGGTAACAGGCCTAAGTTAGTTTCTCAATAACAACGAGGAAACAGAAATAAGGAATAAAAGTTGGAGACATGGTTCAGTGGGCTAGTATGTGCAGTGCCCTGGGTTCAAGTCCTAGTACAGCTAGACAAGAAAACAAAACCTTACTGAAATAACAAACTAAAGGCCTTGGAACACAGAAAGAATGAAATGTGAAGGAAAGGAGACAGTGGCACTCAGAGACCTAGAGATGGTCTTGTAACACAAGGTCACTACTACTTCTGTTGTAACAAAAAGACTTGCTAAATGTTTACAGATGCGTTTAGATATGGAATAAGGAGTTATGAATGCTTAATGACTCCGACATGTACTAGCATAAATACCCAATTAATGAATGAATGATAAAATCTTCAAGTGTTTGGTATACAGCACATTAGAATAAAAATGAACATAACACTTCAACATAAAGAATATATTTTCATAAATAATGGTAATTGCAGAAACAAAAGCTGACACTCTTGTATTATCTCAGATGTTAATTTTTAAAAAAATGTAGCTGATAGTTACACAGTAAATATAATTATTCCCATAAGAATATCTAACATTTAATCTACTATGCCAAGATAAAAAAAAAATCAATGTCCAGATGATGTTATGAAGTAATTTTTAAATGCTTCCACCCACATATGTTTACAGATGAGCGATGCAATTTAACTTACTACCAAGGTTAATTATACATAGTCTGCTTTTTAGAGTATATTTTAAGTGTCTTACTCAAATATATTTGAACGTGCACAGAAGAGAAACTTCCCGTTGAAAGTAGGACTTTTTCCCCATCAGAACGTTGTGACTGGAGAAGACTACTGGTTAAAAGGAGCACCTATGGAGTGCTCGCCTTTCCTGACTTGTCTGCAGTGTCCGTGATCAGGCAATATAGCAAGCAACACACTTCGTGATCATATAATTTAGTAACTATGCTTTAGTTCTAATAAACAGGAAGTTTACTTTTATAATTACTGATTGGTACATTTAAGTTTAATTTGAAAGCTTTAAGCATTTTTTGTTATTCACTATAGAAATGTTAACTCCAGTCTTTACGAGAGTTAGCTGTTATACAGCTTCTCACCATCAGGGAACCAAATGTGCTCCATTTTATTTTCTATCATTTTTCAAGAATAAATGAATTGTTTTTTGAAAGTGGTGTGCTTTTTCCAAACCCAAACAAATGAAGAACCATCTTCCTTGTGTTTCAACACAATGCTACTTACTAAGTACTCTTAGGTTGTTTCTAAGAGGCTTATGCATGCATTCCTTGGCAAAGAGTAATGTGATTTCCTGCTACTTTTTGCGTCTTATAAATTTCTTGCTTTCAAAAGAGGTGTCATCATTCTGCAAGAACAGCAGCTTTGCACACTGCACCATAGGAACTGTTATGACATGCCTGTTTCCATAGCTACCACTGCAAGTGGGGAAAGGTGTCTGTCAGGGACCAATTTGCCTCTCCAGAAGCACACTGGCACCAAAAGAAGACATGGCACCCATAAATCTTAGCTAGGACCAAAAATTGCAGTAATAAGGAAAAAGAGTAAAACGGCATTGAATATCAGTGGTCACTATAAAGAGTATGAGAAACACGAATGCTTTCCAGATACACATAATATAAGTCTGCTATTAAACTGGCAATAAAAATCAATTTAAAAATTATTTATTTTGCCGTTGAGAAATTGTTAAATATAGCAAGTAAACTGATAAAAAATTTAAAATCTATGAACTAAAGCAAATGTAGATAAAGATGCCAAAAATTAGTTTCTAGCTTCTATGTCTTGGTTAAGAAATAACTGCTGTGGAGAAACACTTATTAAAATAACACACATACCTTAAATAATACTATATAAATCCTTTAGTGTCAAATGCAGCTAAAATCACTAACAAAAATTTCTGCAAGGCATGATGTTTAACAATAAAGTTTCTTTACTTGTTTAAATTAAACTAAGTGGAACATCATCAGTAGTAGGAATTTGGAGAAAAGGTAAAATCAGAGGTACAGAGAACAGTTATAAAACATATCAAAAATATATCTTTTATTCAGTGAAACAATTCAAAATGTAATGTAACAAGGCATAAAATCTTGTGATAATTCTTACACATAAAACAATTAGAATTAAGGACTGAACAACAGAAATATGAACACTTCAAAAAGAAAAATATGAACCTTGTAGTGTTAGAAGCAATTAAAAAGCATAACTAGTTATTAATTTCAGAAGCTATACATAGGTATTTAAGGAGAATCAGCAATAACAAAGCATGCGACTGTTTTGTGCGCATTTTGAGAACCCAGTTAACACTCTGAATACACACGAATACTTTCTACCCATTTACAGTGTCTGTGAAAACAGTGTGTACATTATTGATTTTTCTCAGGCTCTCCAAACATGCCCCAGAGATTTGAAAACAATATTCTATATATGACTAAAGAAGGTTGAAGTATTCATACCTGGGGATTAGATCCATCAAATCCTTCAGTATAAATGATGTTCTGAATGAATTGAAGCAGCTTCATGTAGCCTCGGGACAAAGAACTGTTGGTAAGAAGTGGTTCAAATACATAAATGGGCTTACTACTAATAAAGTAAAATATCTATAAAAATCAGTAAATAAGTAAAAATATGAATGTATTGGAGTGTTTAAATATACAAGGAAATGCATCAAATTAATGTCAGACAATCTAAAAACATTTAGACAACACTGCAAAAAGAGAGTAAGTTATATCATCTTATATTAAATTGCTTAGTTTTTTGACATTATGGGAGGATAAAAATCTGTAGAGACTGAGATGACTTAATTATGTCAGGCTTAGTTACCTCCAAGAAAATTAATGTTTTAACGAAGCAACCTAAAAGATGAAGCCACCATAGCTTTTCAGGAGTAATCATACATAATTAACACATAGTTAATGAACTGCTAAGTCACACACTCCCAAATCAATGTCCCGATCACCTGAGCTCATCTTCTATCAAAGTTTTAATTTTCGTAGAATAAACTGGTAAAATAACTAAATAATTTGAATTTTTAGAACACGTGAAGACAAACAGCATAATCTACTAAATTTACTGTTTACCCATTTCCTTTGTTCAAAGAAGATGAAAAAATAAATGCATGGATTTAGGAAGACATCTAAGTTATTTCTCACACGATGCAAGCATTGTTTATTGCTTTAAAACAGTAAAATGAATTTTTAAGGTGTATTTGGGACTTAAAAAAACACTTGAGATAAATCCCCTGTAAATGTTGTGTGATATTTCAGGGAACATTTAAAAAGAATGAAGGAGACCTGCTTCCTGAGTGAAGTTAAGAAGTGTAGCAGCTATTTGCTTAATCTGCAACATCAATAGAAGTCGATTCAGCAAAAATACATGTGCATCTCCATACATGTGTGTGCTCCTGAACAGCTGCTGCTGATTCCAAAATCCCTATCTTGCAGAAACGGAGTAAACATGAGAAAGGAAAGCTTTCTATACAAAACAAATGTGACTCCAGGAGATGAAGGTCTGCAGAGCATGGGTATGTTTCATATAGTTACTGCACCCTTTCAGGGACAACACGGGCTATTGTGGACATGATATTCTACTGTGATGGGAAGAACATGTCTATAAATAACACTATGTAAAGACAAATCTATAAGACTGTCCTGGGAATGTCCTTCATTTCATCCATGTTGTAGAATACAAGATTCCTTTTCAAGGTTAAATAGTATTCTGCTACGTATTTGTGTGTATACCAAATTTTCTTATTTGTTGATAACACAGGCTAACTCTGTATCTTGGCTGTAATGAACAGAGAATGCAGCTATCCCTTCAATACACTGAGTTCATTTCGTTAGATAGAAGTACACAAGGAGCACTAGTAGATACAACAGTTGTACTCTGAACTTTGTGATGAACTGCCACACTGTTTTCTATGTTTATACTAATTTATACATCTACCAACAGCAAAGATTTCTCTTTTTTATGTTTTCACCAATACTTGCCCTTTACTTTGTTGGTAACAGCCATTATAGTGGTTGCAAGGCAACATCTCATTAAGGTTTTAATATACGTAATAATATATAAATGAATGAAAATATACATAATTACATAATAATGTAATGATTAGTTATTAGATATTTGAGATTTTTACCCCATTGATTTGTTGTCTACTTGTATGTCTTTTTTAGAGTAATGTCTTTTGCCTGTTTTTAAAAAATCAACTTTCTTTGCCATTGAACTGTTTCTGTTCATAAAAATTTGAGGTATTAAGTTCTCTTTCATAAGCTCTCTCTCTCCTTCTCATACTCCCCCTTTCCTTAGATTGTCCCTTGATTTTGTTCAATGTTTCATTTTGGAGAATAAGGTGAAGGCATTAAAACCAATATCTTTTAATCACTTTACTTATTTATCATCGACATAAAATAATCCACTAGACAATGATGCTTAGAACATTAAGTATTAAATTTCTTGAGTTAATTGAAGTTCTTAGGGAGTAATCTTTTGTAAATATAAAACTAGGAAATATATTTATGTATACTAATCATGAATATCAGCTGCTGAATGAATAAAATGAAATAATTTAAAATAGGATTTGGGCCTTACTAAAAGAGTAGTTACTAATGGTTACCTCACATTGTTGTTCAATATTTATAAAAACAAATACACGTATTGATAAAAATATCTTCCATTTCTATTGGAAATTTTGGCTTTATTGTTGGTTCTCCAACACTGAGAAATTTTATTCTCTCTGTGTGTGTGTGTATGTGTATATGCATGTGAGTGCACATGTGTGCATGTGTCTAGTGATAAGAGTTTACAAGAAGGAAATTTGTCTGCAAAAAAGACCCTTGCTTTGTTATTACTGTTTCCAAGCATTTTTACATCTATAAGTAACTGTGCATATGTTTGAGCAAGTTCAGGTATGGGGGAGTCACAGTGAATGTGTGGATCACAGAGGACAACCTTACTCACTGAGCCATGTCCTCAGCCTCTGTTTCCAAACATTTAACAAAGTTTTGACTATTTCAAATATTAAAAGACTGCCCACTTTTTAAACTTATTATTTACCTTTACTTTATGTGCATTGCTATTTTCACCTGCATGTGTATCTGTGTGAGGGTGTTGGATTTCCTGTAAGTGGAGTTACAGACAGTTCTGAACTGTCATGTGGGTGCTGGGAATTGAACCTGGATCCTCTGGGTCCTCTGGAAGAACTGTCAGTGCTCTTAATCTCAGAGCCATCTCTTCAGCCCCATTGCAGCCCATTTTGAACCACTATTCTGCTTTACCCTTACAACTACCAAACAATTTTTATATTAAAATGAACTAATTTCAGTTCTATGTGCCTAAAGTTATCACAATATATAGAAATATAAATCATACAAATAATTTTTTAAACTAATTTCTAATTCTTTTTAAGTGTTTTGACTGCATGTGCATGATGGCACCTGAGCAGGTCAGAAAGCGGCACTCAATTCTCTGAAAACTGAAGTTACAAATTGTAGGTGCTGGGAATCAAATTCTGGTCCCCTGCAAGAGCAACAGGTGCTCTTAACCACTGAACTATCTCTCTAGCCCTGGCACTAATTTTGAACCTGATAATACCAAGTACTTAAAATTAATTTTACTTTCACAAATAAACAAAAAAACAGATTGGTAAGCAGGAGAAAGATATTTTTTTTCTTGAAAAAGGTAACTTTTTGTCTGTTAAAAGATAAATTACAAATATAAAATAGAATATGGAATTATAATAAGTAGTTGATAAGTGAAATTTTTATAGGCAGAAAGCAGACTCTTGGTATACTGTTTAAGAAGCCTACCTAATTTCAGTCTTATCAGTTAATAAAGCTCTTGGTGCACAGAAAATCCTGAAGCAACTTTGGTGTCACAGCATCCGGTGGACACCTTGTTACAGACGTACAGTCATCATCCTCACTTTGTGATTGGGAAAACTAAGGCTCATTTCAGGAAAAATGACTTGTCCAAGGTTACACATCACTAAGTGACAGAAATGACATGCAAAGTGAAAATATTTTCTGGGCATGGTTGTACATTCCTTTAACCCCAGCACTTGGGAGGCTGAGACAGTGAGATTCAAGCTGGCCAGGGCTATATATTGAGAACATGTCTCAACACAAATAAACCAAACCAACCAAACAAAAACCCTGAAAACATTCTAAAGCTGGGAAACTTGGCTCTTTTAACTACACTATTTTAAAGCCTTGGAATGTGGTGCATGGAGAGTCTAAGGGGCTCACACACACTAGTGTGCTTTCACTCAACACTTTTAATGAAGCATTCCAGCATGCAGTTGTGGGGAGAGAGCTTTTAGCTGTACTCATGAAATCATCTCAAATGGGCCTTGGTGGTACTTAACTTGGAGAGTGGAAAGATAATGGAACTCTTCATACCAATTGATAACTGAGCAGCCCTCCACACACAGCAGGAAGATGCCAAGGCTTGGGAACTGGCTCTGTTCAACCTGTGCCAATAACTCTGCTCAAAGTGTGATACAGACAACTTCTTTAAATTTTTTCTTGTCTCTCTTATCCACCATGATTTTTAAATTACATGGTTCAGAATGCTTTTCCTCATTAAAGTAATTTGCTACAATTTTAAAAATAAGAAATTCTGGTCACTTACATATTTAACAACCTGGTAGAAATATTTGAGAAAATAACCAGAATCTTACAGAAAATTAAGATTATTATTCTCAAAAATTATCACCCATAATTACAATGAATTAAAATAAAGATGAGTACCTTTTGATATGATTTTGAAAGTAAATGGAAAAATAAAGTTTATCTTACCAAAGCTCTATTTGCATGTATAATTCAAGGACTCAACTATGACAAGTTGGAAGCAACCCTATATAAGGCCATAGACACAATACATGTCTCAATTAATTGTATAAAATACTCTGTTGAGCTAAAGTTCTATTAGCATATAATTTGCATGTGATTCCAGAGATTGTAAAGTCTTTTCACAAGTAATTTTCAAGTCACAGATTTCATTAGGATTACCCTGAAGGCTGTCTTTTACTGACTTTTCGTCTCATGCTTTTCACCTAACACTAAATTTGAGTCTGACTAGGGAAGCTCAACTAAGAGAGAAGGACGCAGAGTCTAAGATCATATTCAAGACTGAAGATGAACAATGACCAGCAGAGACCTCTGGATCTCAGTTGGAAAAATACTTCACGCCATGGCTAAGCAATCCCATTTGGCATGGAGACTGTTAAGTGAAGTTATGATCTTTATGAAAAATAATTCAGAAATTGACTGAGATGAAATATCAGATTGTGTCTCCTCCAGGCCCTAACAGAGTGTGGGGTATCCAGTCCTAGTCATCACACACTTTCTGATACCCTCTCTTCAGTGTCTTCATCTTCTCTCTTATTGTGATACATTTGGTAGCATCTTAATTAACTATTTTGTTTCATGGCCATTCTGCACCTTCATTATCTTCTTCTTTTTCAAGTTTTTTCCAGCAAAACTATTTGGTTAATAACTACAAATTCCAAGAGGCTAGTGAGGTAGTTGGAAAATATGAAT